CCTTTAATTATGCAATTATTTCCGTGATTTTGTAAACACATCCTTTATTTTATTTTTTTAATAAAAATTAAAAGACAATATATTTTCAAATATTAAAAAGGCGTATATTGTTTTAATTTTTTCTGAGACCAGCTGATGTAATTTAAAACAGTAGGGGGCCTCTGGGTTTTGTATAGCTTAGGGCCTCAGCAAGCCTAAATCCGGTCCTGATGGGGGGAGAAGTCTATGGTGGTGGTAGCTTTGGCTACTAGCCGTGGTGTGACTGGAAAGGAGCTGCGGTGGCTCAGGGGTTGAGACGCTGAGCTGTAGACCTGAGGGTCTCTAGTTTGGCAGTTCCAGACCCGAGCTGCCACCTGACGGAGTGAGCTCCCTCTCTGGCCCCAGCTCCTGCCAACCTAGCAGTTTGAAAGCAAGAAGGTGCAAGTAGATACATAGGCACCCCTTCGGTGGGAAGGGAACAGCGTTCCGTGCGCCTAGGTGTCTAGTCATGCCGGCACCATAACCATGGAAACGTCTGCAGACAGCGCTGGCTCTTCGGCTTGGAAACGGAGATGAGCACCGCAACCCTAGAGTCGGATTCGACCGGCTTTTGAGCAAGGGAAACCTTTACCTTTAGGGCGACTGAGGGGAACCTCCACCTTCAGAGGCACTAATCCTCTGAATCCCAGAGCCAGGAGGAAACACTAGGGAGGGCCTCGGCCTCTCTGCCCTGTTGCTGGCCCTCCACAGGAACTGGTTGGCCCCTGTGTGAGACAGGAGGCTGGATTGGATGGACCACTGCTCTGATCCAGCAGGGCTCTTTTTACGTTCTAATGAAGGCCTCGGCCTCTGTGCCCTGTCGTCGGCCCTCCAGAGGAACTGGAACGTTGTTCCCTTCCCACCGAAGCGGTGCCTATGTATCTACTTGCACCTTCTTGCTTTCAAACTGCTAGGTTGGCAGGAGCTGGGGCCAGAGAGGGAGCTCACTCTGTCAGGTGGCGCTGGGGTCTCGAACTGCCAAACTAGAGACCCTCAGGTCTGCAGCTCAGCGTCTTAACCCCTGAGCCACCGCGGCATGACTAAACACCAAGGCACATGGAACGCTGTTACCTTCCTACCGAAGTGGTCCCTATTTATCTACTTGCAATGTCTTGCTTTCGAACTGCTAGGTTGGCAGGAGCTGGAACTAGAGACGGGAGCTCACTCCGTCATGCGGCGCACTCGGGTCTCGAACTGCTGAACTACCGACCTTCCACAGCCTGCAGTTCAGCGTCTTAACCACTTGAGCCACCGCAGCTCCTAGGCAATGGCAAACCACCCTATTTATTTATTTATCATTGGATTTATAATCCTGCCCTCCCCGCAAGCGGGCTCAGGGTGGGTCACAACAGTTAAGGTGCAATGTAATAATAAATACAGTTTGTACAGAGTTAAAATTTCTAAAAACAACAGAGAGCGGGAATTCAATTTCCAGCATCCACCTCTGAATGTCTCTTGCCTTAAAAACCCTACGGGGGTCGCCGTCAGTCCGCTTCAACTCAATGGCACTTTCCACCACCGATGTTACAGTCTCACCGGGGAAAATACAGAGATCATTCACAAGTTATGCTAAATCAGTCAGGGATGGGGAGGCTGTGAGAAATAGGAACCCGCACACCGGATTGATGGGCCCGAAGCCAAGCCCCCGCCTCCGAGGATACTACTGTGAAGTAGGCCCTGGTTCTTCCTTTCTGTAACAAAATGGCAGTTGTTGTTGTTCAGTTGCACAGTCGAGTCTGACTCTTCGCGACCCCATGGACCACACCACGCCAGGCCCTCCTGTCTTCCACCGTCCTCTGAAGTTGGCTCAATTTCATGTTCATTGCATCGATGACACTGTCTAACCATCCCATCCTTTGCCGTCCCCGTCTTCTTTGACCTTCAATCTTTCCCAGCATCAGGGTCTTCTCCAGTGAGGGCTCCCTTCTCATTGGGTGGCCAAAGTATCTGAGCTTCAGTTTCATTATCTGGCCTTCCAGGGAACAGTCAGGGTTGATTTCTTTTAGGATTGACTGATTTGATCTTCTTGCAGTCCAAGGGACTCTCAAGAGCCTTCTCCAGCACCATAGTTCAAAAGAATCAATTCTTCGGCGCTCAGCCTTCCTTATAGTCCAACTCTCGCAGCCATACATGACAACAGGGAATACCATTGCTTTGACCATGCGGACTTTTGTTGGCAGGGTGATGTCTCTACTTTTTATCATGCTGTTTAAGTTCGCCATCACTTTCCTCCCAAGGAAAAATGGCAGTTAACATTATTATTTTAATATTTTTTTAAAAAAAAAATTGGTAAATTCAAAATGTACATAATGTATAATTACAT